TCGGTAAATTATGACACTTTTAATACAAAGTTGACATTATTCAAAATGTCTTTGTTATGACAACTTGACATTAACCAAGAAATCATTACTGATATAAATTTGTTATAAAAGTATTACTGAATGCACTTTAAAAATTAGGTATCTTTATGTTATTAAAGGTAAAGTTTAAACAGTAATGATTTCTTGGTTAATGTCAAGTTGTCATAACAAAGACATTTTGAATGTCAACTTTGTATTAAAAGTGTCATAATTTACCGAATGACGCTTTATGACAACAGTCATAAATATTCATGAAGGCTTATTCATGTTCATGACATGTGATATGTCATGTTTATGAAAGTGTCATGTCAGTCTTATTCACCCCCCTTCAAATAAAGTGTTACCCATTGAAATAATAATTTCCCACTAATCATGACTTTATTAAGTAGGAATCTAGAATCCAGAATCTTTGGCCCTAAGTTTCACCAGAAACGCTTTTCTTCTTCTATTGTCATGTTAACATGTTTCACACAAAATACCACTGATGAGGCATTGCCTTCTATCCTCATTTCCTTTGTGAATAATTATCAGTATCGTAGAGCAGAATCATAAATTGCATTTCCACCAACCATTGATGTTATACTGGTCTTATGGCCACTAAGCTATTTTCTTCAGCTTCTGGATAGTTAGTTAGGGTTGTTAGTTGTTAGCTCTAGTTAGCTGGTTGTTAACTTCTAACCCTAACCTCACAACAAAATTTCTGATGTGTCTGTCATATAATTGCACAGTTATTGCCACTGATATTTTCACCTCATCATAACATTGACTGTGGTGTTTTTGTGCTAGGACCTCCTTGCTGTAGGTTATGGTGAGACTGACTACAGAAACCATGGACCAGGCCTGGTGTGCTGCTGGTCTATTAAGAACCCGACGGTATGACTGACTTCAGTTCATGTCTCCTCAGTAAACAGATATTTGTGTAGTTTGAATGGGTGAATGACTGAATGTTTTGGGGTCCTCCGGACTTGATAAAGCACTGTACACGTACAGGCCATTTACCGCTTCACTGTCAGCAAGTAGCTCTACATATCAGTCTATAGAATGTTCAGCAGCCTTTGGACTCGTGATTTCTACTACATTTGTTCTGTCTTGTCATTGTTACAGTTTCTAGTTGTCCTTCAAGATAGGCCATTGGTTGGTTAGGTATGTCGAAGCTTCAGCTGTTTTCCTTCTTCTCTTCTTGCAGTGGCCTGAGCGAATCATTAACTGTGACAGCGCTGTAACGACTATGGATTTCTCATCCATCAGCCCTGGGCAGCTGGCTGTGGGAATGTGTGACGGCAGCATTGCTATCCACAATATGCAGAGTGCAGATAATAAGTCACCTTTCATCAGCAGCCGGTGAGGAATGAGCGTTGGTGGATGGTGCAGCTCTCTTATCATTATTTAATTAGATGCACCGAAATGAAAGTTTAGGCCAGTAGTGACACCGGCCCAAACTGTGGAATAGATATGGGTTTTCCTCCTAACTCTTCCACACTGTAAAGAAATGATCACACTGTTGAGATTCCTTCTGTGCTTCAGTTAGACAACCCACAGTCACTATGACACGCCCTCTCTTAATACACACAGCAACAAGATGGAAATAAACTTTGATAATTAACACCAATGCCAATGTAAATGGCAACATATGGTACATCCCTGAGTTACTTTCCTATGTTGCTGTTCTGTTTCTTCCGGTATGCAGTGAATGTGCCAAAAGACACCTTGGGCCAGTGTGGCAGCTCAGGTGGAACCAACAAGAACTGAGCTTCACTGGAGAGGAGAAGGTTGAATCTCTGTACTCTGTGGGAGCCGACGGCAGAATCTGCAAGTGGTTTGTCATCAATGGTGGCCTTGACTGTACAGGTACAGTTCTCCACTGTAAAATCTGCCTTTTCAATTTCCAGCTCACAGTGCTCTTTGAGGCAAAGAGAAACAAAATGAAACATTAAGTTATGTAAAGCCTTTATGGATTTTCCTAACATTTTCATGTGAAAAACAAGATGCATATCCCATATGTTCCAAATACAAGATGTTTAGATATATGAAGAATTAATATAGATATTTAAAGGGACAGTGTTATGTTTAATAAACTTTTTTGAACTTTACATCATGTTATCAAAAACATATGTGGAGTGTTGCCTTGATTCTTTCATGTATGTTTTGAGAATTCTTTTAATCTCCCATGGCAACCATTCAGCTGTGCAGAACTCCTGGGTGGACCTAGTGCCACCTTCAAGATGCAGCCCTTCTAAGCTCCCCAGTTACTCAACTCCTTCAGACTAGCCAGTAACAATTAGCAAACAGTTGGTGGAACTGTGCATCTGCTGAGCTCGTTGTGAGCTACTTCTCAATACAACAGCTGTAAAAATGTTGTTGAAGGATTAATAGAGGAGTGATATTGTGATGACTTCCTGAAGGTGGAGTTTCAGAAAGAGCAGGAGTTTTTAAAGAGACAGAGGCCCAATTTCAAGGTGCTAAGTATCAAAGTTCAATTTCTTTTAAGTCACATTTGATATACAAGGTGGGCCATAAGTTTCCATACATAGGAGAATGTAAAATGTATATTTCTTTTATATTTCAGATACCCAAGAAGATGTGTTTGACAAAAGAGTAAAGCATTGAAATTATACTGATGGATGGATCGGGAAGCAGTCGCAGGTTGCACAAAACTTTAACAGAAAACATGGAACCAGCATCACACACGACACTGTGGCAAAACTTATTTGCAAGTTTCAGAAAACTGGAAATGTTGCAGATCAACCATGAAGTAGTCCAAGATGTGCAGCGATTACACAAAAATAAAAATGGTTGTCCACTATAAAATGTTTATTTTTTCTATGTATGAAAACTTTTGGCCCACCCTGTATATACCATTTTTATAACAACTAGAGGTAATAGTTACTTGATTGTGCTAGACATTTCCTCTATGTGTCTGGACAACACATACTACTATTACTTTAAGATTGAAAAGACTTTAAAATGTTTCTGTGAGCAAATTTATTCCCACTTAAAAGAGCTAAACTCACTACATTAGTTGTGAAACAACCTGGATATTAAGAGTAGGGCGTTGTTTTGTTAAAATGCATTAAAGTCACTTTTTTTCTTCAGTTAAGAATATGCTCTTAATAAGATTAACAACTGAATATTTAATTGGTTATTGTATAGACCTGATGAAGCTCAAGAAGATGAATAACACCCTGAGAAAGACTGAACAGAACAAGCCAGAGAAGACAGCAGAGTGTGTGCTGTCTGTTCTCACCCCTGGTCTGTGCTTTGACTTTCATCCAAGTGTAAGAGGCTCTAGAATATCTATAAGTTACTGGCTGCTCATATGCCAGCTGGCTCATAGCATGTTTCTGTTTGTGGCACCATGCTCCTACAGGACTCCAACATCTATTTGACTGGTACCTGGGAAGGTAACATCCACAAGTGTTCCTGCTCCAACGGTCACCAGTTTCTGGAAACTTACAGGAAACATTTTGTAAGTTTGACACAGTAAAAGTCACCTCCTCTTTCTGAGACTTTATTTCTTCCACTGCAGTGAAATCCACCAAAACTAAGTCAAACTTTCTTACATAATGTTACTGTTAACGGTGGGATGCGATTAGGAAATTTCTCAAATCATTTTAATTCAATTCAAGTTTTTTTCATCAAGGGCAGTGCAGTAAACAATGTTACATGATAAAAACAAGCAACTATTGTTTTGTACAAAGGTTTTCTAGCCACAGACTAATTTGTAAACCCTGTCAGGCCTGTCACAATAAGCAATAAATCAATTATTGTCATGATAAATTAAAACAAGCTCAATAATTTCCATTTGAATTAGTTATTGTTTTTTCTTTTCTCTCTTTCTACCAAAAACTGGATGATGAAAGTCTTCAGTCTTTTGCTTTAGTCACAACTAGAAGGACAATTTTCTTTACAGAAATGTCGTAATTCATTAAATTGGGTGTTTCTGTAGTTTTGCTTATTTCAGAAATGTAAAATGTCTTTCAGTCCCAGTGTTAAATGTTCATTAATATTTAAAGTTTATTGATCTTTGAGAATGTGCTCCCGCATTATTATACCATTACCATAATATTACTTGAAAATTGTCTCAAACAACAATATTATCAATAATTGCAATAATTTCTGGGACAATTTATCATTGAGCAAAATTTGTTACCATAACAGGTCTAGCTGATTAACAGCAGTCAATCATTTTTTAAAGAATCAACTACAAACATTTGGCCCAAAAAGTGTTTTAATTTTGAATAAAATTTGGTTACTTACTGAATCAATAAATAAAGTAATTTGTAGTATGTAGAAGAGCAAGTTCTACATGACCTTGGCGGAAACTGGAGTGTTGTGGATTCCAGAATTCTGCTTCACTTGGTGGCAGCGTGTTGGACAATGTTCTTTTTGAAAATGGTATTTTTAAATTGACTAGAGTATTTTTTGTTCGTCTGGTATAAAGTAAAAACTGAAAACGTTTTGAATGAAAAACATGTTAGCATAGCAACACAACAGCTGTTATTTGCTCTCATCAGGGAGTCTCAGTACATACCAGATGTTCTCTGGCTTTAGATTTTAAATTTTAAAGTCTCTGCACTAACAATATTCTGCACAGAATGTGCCACATTAATTTGGATTTTTTAAGATGATTTCTAATGTTACTGTGTTTTTTTTTTCTTTTTCTTTTTTTTATACATCACAATAGGATCTGTGCACTTTTGAGAACAACAGTAAGTTTCACAAACCCCAGTTCTGGTGGCTTGTTCACTCCCGACTGTAGCAAAATGATAATTCTCTAGGAACCTGCAGCTGTTGTTGGCCATTGGAACGGAACAGTAGCACCACAATAATCTACATGGAACTGATTATGAACCACGATAATGTGAAGCAATAATCCTTAGAATAAATAACATAATTTGAGTGGCTTATTTATGTTTGTGGTGTTTCCTGACAGTGTCCTGTGAACTGCATCACATGGTGTCCTCTCCATCCTGATGTGTTCCTAAGCTGCTCCTCTGACTCCACCATCCAACTCTGGAAGCAGGACTGCATTAACCCTTTGTTAAGCTTCACCTCCAACCAGCCGGTGGGTGAAGTCAGGTGGTCTCCAAAGCATGCCACAGTATTCAGTGCTGTTAACGAAGGCCAGCTTGAGATCTGGGACCTGAATTCCAGCTTGTAAGTCTGAGGAATTTGCTTGTTTCATTTCACTCTGCCAGTAAGCACATCAGCACGCAGAAAACAACTGGAAACAAGGGGAGAAAGTGAACCAGATTCTATAACTTCCATCTTCCAGCTTGGACCCAGTCATCGTGCAGCCTGCTGCTCCTGGACTGAAGATGACGTCCCTTCTGTTTGCATCCCTCACAGACTGTGTTGTGGTAGGAGACAGTGATGGCCAGGTGACGGTGTACCAGCTGCAGAACCTCCATGTTGGAGAGAGCAGCCAGGTAAATCACACAAACATGTCAGGCATACAAGGGACATAATGTATCTTTTGAAGTACCAAAATCCAGACATGGAAGATCATCATTTAATTAATAATTTAGTTAGCTCCATTTGGTCATTTATGACCAAATATTGAGCAATTAAAGTCAGAGCAAGAGGAATGTTTATGACATTTTATTGCTGGCAAAGATGTCATGGCCCTAATTCACATGCAATTTCTGGTAAGCTTTATCAGCTGGTGCACTACGTTTGTCACAGCTATTCCTTAGAAATTTGGTCAAATCAGAACCAATTAATTTAAGCTTCAGTAGAGTCCTTTCCTCCAGCAAACAATTGTTTCTCAATAGCCGAGGGTCCGGACCCTCTGGACAAAGCAAAGCTTTGAACAAGGGGCTGGTTTTACCAGAGGGTCCTTCATAGTAAGTAAACCATGCGTGTTCAATGTATAACCCTTTTTCATTCTACCAAAAAGGGTTTTTCCCTGAAACACAAGTATTCTGCATCAGAAAATGTTTTAACGGTGCATTTTCCGATGCATGATGTTTTCTGAAAATGAGCAGCAACTATAAATGAGACGTAGAAGAATATAGCAGAGAAACAGAAGATTACCAAGACAGATTTAGTTTTAGTTACAGATAGTGAAGTGCAATGTGGCATAAAATTCATATCGTGATATGTATTGTGATGGGTAACAGCAATGATATTTATCATGATATGTTTTTGGTATAAAACTTACGATGTAAATGAAAACAGACACTAATTGAGTGGACTCAATTATACAGTCATCAATTAGCTAACATTATCTGCATCCAACAGCATTACTCAACTTGCATTACAGTATTCTGTGAGAAATACTTATTAAAATCTTCTGTGAACACAAAGTGAAATCACAGTAGTTCATTTGAAATCATCTAAATGGTTTTATTGTGTCATTGACACTTTAACACACTCAGAATGTGATTTGGAACCTGATGTTTCAGGGAGATGTTATTCAAGACCTCCTCCGCTCTGCATCTCCCAAAGAACTTCAGGAGACTTTGATGTAGTGGACCCAGAGCACCATGATGCATCTCTAGTTTAAATGTATCTACAACTTTGCAGCTACAAGTTAAATCCATCCATCCTTCATCAATAGCTTATCCCTGCTCCAGTAGCCATTGGGTTGGAGATGAGGTCCATCCGGTTGCCAGTCCATCACAGAAGTGATTTAGAGAGATTGATTAACAGCCTCATTTTTGTTGGGGAAACTGGAGTACCTGGAGAGAACCAAGGTATGAACGGAGAGAACCAGCAAACTCCATCCAGACTCCAGGTCAAGATTTGAACCCAAGACTTTCTTGCTGCAAGGCAACAATACAACCAACTGCTCCAGAACATAAACCACAGTAGCAATTTCACTGAAACAAGCTGCTTCTGGTGAATGCGAGTCATTCAGGCTGCAACAGCATCTTAACTGGTCAAATTCAGATGCATTACTAATGTAAATTATTTTATTATAATTATTATCATAATCTCAGTATTTAACCTGCTGATCATGGTTCAGAGCTACCAAGGAAAACAAACTGATTCTAATCTCAGGTTAACTGGTGCATCTCTAATAGTTATTATCTTGTTCAGTGATTTATTAGCCAACAATGTTGAGCCAGTACAGTCTTTGATTTGGTCAGCATGGTGATATAAATGAAATCTTTAATAAAAAAATGTAATATATAGCAGCCAATCTCGAGCCTGGTTCTGTTGGACATTTCTCTCCACTGTTGTCCTGAGCTTTTCCTCAGGAAGAGAGAGGCTGTAGAAGGGACGATTCAGAGCAACCTGCTGGCTTTCTGACTGGAAACTTTAAAAAAGTGTCACTTTATGATCAGCTGGGTCTGTCTGTTTTGTATTAGAACTGGACTGGAATAACATGCATGTTATAAAATGTAATTTTGATGGTGACATCTTCTCAGAGCATTCATTTTACAAGCATGATCACTAGAAAAGAGTATTTGTGTAGATTACAGCCTGTACACACCTGAACAATTCTGAGCAACAACTAATCACTAAATGGTATCACAGTTACAACAGATGAATTCTCACATTATGTCAGCCTTTATTCTTCATTTAAGGATGAAAACTCTGCAACACTGTCAGGAACAAACCATACATCAAGAAGATCATTTAAGAGAAAAACTACTGTTTAAATAATGCGTTCTGTAAACTCCATCAAAGGTCATCGTTGACCTCTGATCGAGCTCACCATCATCGTAACAGTTCTGAAATAAAAATATAATTTGCATAACAAGATTAGAGATTAGCAAAAAAAATAAAAAAAAATAAAAAAAATAAAACAAATAGAATTCATTTAATACTTAAAAATGTTTTGGGATAAAAATCCCCCCAAACATTTATGATGATAGAAAGTATTGGTGTTTTGTTTTGTTGAATAAAATGTGTGTTTCTTCTTATCAGGAGTGTTATCTAATGTTTGATGTCAATTCATGTTGTATGTTCTGAACTAACATGTTTCATTTATATGAAGCCTCAAATAATAAAGTTGTTTCCTGTTTCTTCATTGTCTTGGTTTTTTTGTTGTTGTTTTTTTTAACATCCATATGAATTTATCATTATACTCTAAGCCTGTTAATTTTAACATGAGAAAGAAAAGCTTTAAATTGGTCATCACAATACAGGATACAACACTGAGTTATTTTCTCCATATGCTTTTAAATTTTAAATATTAGATTTACTTCCAGTTAGAGGAGGGCATTTATCGTATTGTCATATTGTATTTATTGTGATAAATTTCTTATAAGGATTTTGATTTATTGTTGCCAAAATAAATTCCAATTAATGTTTAAAAAAACAAAACTGTCTATATTGTTGGGATTATTACTTTTGCTATTTTCTCCACTGTTTGCTCAATGAGACATTCTAACAAGTGTTTTAGCATCATCCTACATAAAAAAGAAAAATCACCATCAAAAATAAGCCTAAGAAGCAAAAGGTTCCCAGCAGAACATCGGTCACTGTCTTTGTCCAGCAGGTGGCAGCATTGTGGTAATATTCAGCTGGTTTGTCTCTAGCAGACGACGATGGGTGTAGTCAAAGTCTGGATGACAGCACCATACAGAGCGGTGTCTTCAAGGTATTCTGTTTGTGCCACAAAACATGTTCTTCCTGCCTCACTTGAAAACTTCTGTCAGTTCATCTCTAAAAGGTCTGTTGTCGACATCAGCAGTTCAAAAGCAACGTGTTGCTGGGTTAATATTCAGACAACCAGCATCAGTTGTTCATGCTTAATACAGGGAAAATATAATTCTTAACAGTTGATTTGTTCATCGAATGTTCTCGCAAATCAATGAAGCACAGTTCAACAGCTTCATGAACACAATGTTTAAGGCCTTCCCAGACTCTGGCTGATCCAGTTTTGTGATCTGCTCACTGTCAGATCCGTAACCTTGTTCTCCCAGCTGAGTTCAGTGAATCAGTGCAGGCCTGGTGCTGATTAGACTAAGGCTGAAAGGGCTGAGGGGAGAGGCATGCAGTGTCAAAGTTAGAGATGGAAAGAGAGAACAAGAAAAAATGGTGTCTGTGTCGCCCAGCATCACCCACCTCTTGATCTGTGTGACAGTGGAAGAGCTTCTTCTAAGCTTCTTAGAAGAGGATGGAGGAAGGGACAGGCTGATTTTAGGTGACTTAGGGGGAGGGAGGATGGAACAGTGGGACGCCTTTGACGTGTTTGACCTGAAAGAACGGTAGAAAGAAATTTGGCATCTTTATGTTTTCATGCACACTGGAGATAGGCACCAACATTCCTTGTGACCTCGTATGTGTGTGTGTGTGTGTATGTGTGTGTGTGTGTGTGTGTGTGTGCATGTGTGTGTGTGCGCATATGGATGGATGGAGCTAAAGATTAGGGTGATGGCAAGGAGACATTACAGACACTGATGATAAACCATAAGTGTACCAGGAGAAATATGCAAAAAGCTGCTCAGCAAATATGAAGGATTTGAGTGCTGCAATACCAATTTAAATATTAATTCCAGACACTGTGGATTGTGGTGGAGAAATACTGCTCCTTCCAGTTGGACTGCTCTAGGTAATTTTACAGGCTTCTAAATTACAGGATGTACTTCCTATGAGGGCATTGCCAGTTGTGACAACTTCCTGTCCCTATATGAATCACCCCTCACTGCTGCCTCGAGGGGTAAGAATTAAAAGTTCGGGTCAGGGCAGTTCTTGCTCCTTGTAAGGAACTTGTTAACTGACCCAGGATGATGGAAGACAAATTTATAAGCAGATGCACACTAATATTGTATTAACTTGAATTTTAAGCTTTGAGGAGTCTTTTTTCTTTCTCCTAAGGATAATCACATGGGACCTGCTGCTGTATGACGGTACCTGGAAGAGGAGGAAGCTGATCTTGGTGTCCGTTTTCCCTTCACTGCTCTCAGACTGTCTCCCTGGGTCAGACTGGTTTCCTTACAGTTGCTCTGCTCATATAAAAAAACAGCATTACTTTGACTATACTTCTACACTGCTTAAAAACCGATGCCAAAAACTTAAATGACTCACTTCATCCAAACTGTAGGATTTGCACAGAGTGGTTTTGATTGACAGATCATTCATGCTTGTAACCAGATGAGGCATTGCTTCTTGTTTGCCCAGTGGTACCGGGTCAGAACCAGGCAGATGGTACTGCTGCTGCAGCTGTCGACTGAACCTCTGCTGGGCAAGTTTCTGTTTGGAGCGATGCACGTCTCCCTGAACCCACAAGCTGTGCTGTTTCCTGCATGCAGACACACACACACACACACACACACACACACACACACACACACACACACACGTTTGTGTTGCTATCTTTGTGGGGACTTTCCATTGACTTCCATTCATTTGTACAGCCTAAACTTGACCTTTACCCTTTTCCTAACCCTAACCAACCAAAACTCAATTCATACCTTAGCCCTAACTCTGACCCCTGACCCAAAAACAGGGTTTCTCCTTGTGGGGACCAAAGTCTGGTCCCCACAAGGAGCAAATGGTCCCCACAATGTAGTATGTGTCAGGAAAATCGTCCCCACAAGGTATTACAAACAAATGTGCAAATAGATAATGGATGTAGAAAAAAGTGAAGGTATAAATGAGCTTATGCTCACACTTCACTTTTTTTTTACTTCATTTGTTTGCCATGATCATCAAAAGTAGAAGAAATAAATATTTTAAATATTACACTCTATTTGTAGTGAATGTATGTAATATGAGCTTCACTTTCTGACATGAGTGACAGTAAATCTTGAACTTTTCACCATATTTAAGGTTTTTTGGGCATACTTGTTCATACACTCCACATAATCCATTCATGAACATGAAAGATTTCTTGAGTTTCTCTCAGGAATTGAGTTAATACTGATCTAAAATATGACAAATTATTCTAGAAACAGGCGTCATCAAAATAAAAATTTCAAATGTAGTTTTTCTTGTTCAGCCTTAACAAAGTCTAAAGCTTACTCTTCTAAGAAGTTCTGCTGGGGACCAATGATTGACCCGGGTCGGCAGATCCTGATCCAAGCAATAGCCTCAGCTGCTGTGAACCTGAAGTGCTTCATCAGATAGCAGGCGATCAGGGTGCCTGTACGGCCCAAACCAGCTGAGATTGGAAAGTGATACATTTAGCTTATGCATGGCTCTTAAAGTGCAAGAAAAAAAATAACATTCAACCGCACCTTTACAGTGCACGGCCACAGCTCCCTCTGCGCTCTCACACACATGCAGGAAGCGTCTAACGATCAGGTCTGAGGGTGTTGAGCCGTCCATGAAGAAGAAATCATGGTGTTCAAATCCTGCATCCTCAAACCGTCGGCTCTCATACAATTTCTTGTTCAGGCGGACCACATCAGTCACGTTGTTTTGGCTGAAGAATTCAAAGTACGCCTCAGGTGCATGGAGAGGATAACCTTAAAATTCACAAGGACAAGCCAAGAAGGACCCAGTTACAGTGGATTTAAGAAATAACACTTGATGTTATTTCAGGATTTCAAAGTTGACAATTACAGACGTACTTTATCCTATCTGACTGAGCTTGAACTATTTTACAAAGACCAGGCAAACATTTCAGTCTCCAGACGTTCAAAGCTACTAGAGACAAATTCCAGAGGGCCTGCAGCTGGAATTGGCAGGAGGGGTGGCTCTGCAAAGTGTTGAGTCAGGAGACCTGAATCAATATAGTACACCAACACTTTTCAGATTTGCCTTTGCTGAAAATATTGAAAACCAAATATATTTTCCATCTTTTTCTCAGTTTTGTAGTTACTTTGTGTCACTTCAAATCCAACCAAAAGACATTGAGATGTATCTTATTTCATGATGAAAGATGAAGAAAGACAAGAAATCGTCCTGACTTATAAAGGCGTAATGATTCCATTAGCTTAGCAAGGCAAACCAAGGAAGACTTTCCTCCTTTGAAATTCCCTGCAGTAATGAGAAGTCGTCGACTCACCGTTCTCCACCCTGTTTCGAGCATGAGGGCTGCTGAAAGCCAGAATTTTTCCTGGGATGATCCAGTTCATGTCTCCATTTTCAACTCGCTGAAGTCAGACACAGCAAAAAATGGAAGTTACTGAATAATGTGCATCAACTATTCACACAGATATCAAAACCCTTTATAGTTTTGCTGACAATTACTATTATGGAATAAATCCAAATCAAACTTAAGGGTTGCCACAGCTAATCACTTTTACCTCGTAGTGTTCATATTCCTCAGAACTAAAAGTTTCAAAATCCAGGAAGCAGTGCTGCAATGCCTGCAAGAGAGAAATGTAATAACAATGTTCACAAGAACCAGAGAAGCCAACTGTCACTCCAGGGAGGGAGGAGATGGAAACATGAGGAGAGGCGAGCTGTGCCCACTACCTTCCATATTCCCTGTAAGCAGTCCAGGACAGTGAGGTTGAAGGTGCTCTCTGCCACCGCCGCGTCCCTGTGGGACACGTAGACGTTAGTAGTGCAGATGGAACTTCTGCATCGCATGACAGTAAATAATGTTATTATCAGATCACTGCTACAATATGTTTATGTACGTATGTACAATATGTCATGCAATGTGCTAATGCCTTAGCATTAGCAATGTCTGTTGCAGTTTTCACACAAGGTTTTCATTGCAGATAAAAATGTATATTTCTGTTACTGCATCAGGTGAGCAGAAAGGTCATACTGAACTGTAAGATAAACTAAAAGTCTATTTCACAGTTTTTTAATGAATCTGCCCTTCAACTGACCATCTATAGCTTAAAATATTTAACATAGAAAAATGTGAAGTAGATAACAGAGGGATGATTTAAGTTTCTGTCTTTGTAGTTTTATTACTAGATCTTGCCATTTGAGCTTAGTTTATTCCATTCTGTTAGTTTCTTTGTGCATTTATTCTTCTCCATGCATCTGGACTTATTTCTTTAAATCATTTATTTATTGTTAGTTCCAGGTTTTCCCCTTCAGTTCTCTAGTTTCCTTTCCACAGGTTCTCCTTCCTTAGTTCATTGTTCTCCTTTCCCTCAGCCAGCTGTGATCCGTCTCCTGTCTGCGCTCTCAGGTTCACCTCTGACTGGTTTCTTTGTCCCCCTGAGGATTTGGCTCTTCTGATCATTCCATTCCTCGCTGTCTCCTCCCGCTTTTCTCCTTGATTTTCTCCTTTGTCCCTGAGTTACAGCTGGTTTACTTTCTCTGCTGTTTGCTTTGTTGTTACAGTTTTAACATTTTTTCAATAAACATCATTCAGTAATGTTTGTCAGGGGCAACAACAAGGCAACAGCAGCAACTTTACCACCATGGAGATTCTGATTTGTGTCAGCCACATTTGTGAAATACAGAAAAATGAACCTTTTTCCCCCAAATCATTGGAAGCAGCATGATCATCCAGGGTCCTGAATTGGATCTAGTGTTACACGCTTGGTTCAGATGAGCCACTGGT